TAGCTGCTCCCCTCGCCGCTCTCCAAAGCATCTGACAGTCCCAAACCCAAAGGCCAAGGCCCGGAAGCGGGTTTAGGGTTTAGGGTTTGGGGTTTAGGGATTCTTTTGAAAGTTTTTTGTAACTTAAGGTTTAGGGTTTAGCCAAAAGAGGTCCTGTAAGGGTTTAGTGTATCGGTTTTAGAGACAACGGATTTTTTGGTACTGGGGTCTGGTAGGGTTTTATCGAGGGTGTTTTCGAGGATGTCTGTAAGGCTCGTTGATTTGAAGCTCGGGTCTCGGAAGGGCAGCTGGGAATCTGGAACCTACCTCCGAGCCAGGTACCTGCCATGTATCTTGGTCTAGGTTTGAGGGCTTAAGGCATGTAAGTTGCGGGTTTATCGTTTGCTTCCGGGTTTAGGGTTTGCTTCGGGTTAGGGTGAGGCTTTTGGGTTTAGGGCTGCAGGTTTGGGGGTTAGGGGTACATGTCAACGTTTAGCGTTGAATGTTAATAGGAGCGCGCCAGCACTTGAGCTCGCTGTTCAGAGTTTTCGGGGTCAGCAGTTGGGCATATCTCGTGATATAGACTTTGATTCATGAGCTTCTGTTTTTGATGGCAAGATCCCTTGTGCAATCCTGATCCGCGGACCCTAAACCCTAATCCCTATTTATGAAAGGAGCCCTAAACCCTAAAACCCAAAACCCTAAACCCTAAGCCCTAAGCCCTAAACCCTAAACCCTAAGCCCTGAACCCTAAACCCTAAACCCTAAACCCTAAACCCTGAACCCTATTTATGAAAGGAAGCAACAAGGGATGGAGACGGGTTTAGGTCAGGATTTCCGGCTCAGGACCATCTAGGCTCTCCGATGCGTGTTGAGGCTTTTCTGCATGGGGAGCCCTAAACCCTAGGGTTTAGGGTTTAGGGCTTTAGGGCTTTAGGGTTTTAGGGTTTAGGGCTAGCACCTTAAACTCTTAAACTCTCTCTCTCTCTCTCTATGGGTAGTTCTCTAAACTAGGGTCCTTTCTTGGGTCCCCAATATAGTACGGCACCCTCATAGATAGGACCCTAAAAGGGACCCTAGCTTAGAGAAGGACCCATATTGAAGTCTGCAGAGGAGATCTGGGGTAGGGTAGCTGCTGGGTCTACCTCTGCGGGCCAGTGTATGTTGTGCCAGGGATGTGGAGGGTACATGGTACACTTCTCCGGAAGTGTAGCCTGAACCCAGGCCCCCCTACATGTGCCTTAAAGCCTAGACCCTAAACCCCTATGTAAGCCTTGAAGCCAAGCCTAAACCCCCAAACTCTAAACCCTAAGCCCTAAACCCTAAACCCTAGAGAAGCCTTAAAGCCTAAACCTCAAGCCCCTCCTCTGTAAGCCTTAAAGCCTAAACCCTAAACCCTAAACCCTAAACCCTAAACCCTAAACCCTAAACCCTAAACCCAAAGCCTAAACCTTAAGCCTAAACCTTAAGCCCCGCCTATGTAAGCCTTAAAGCTTAAACCCCAAACCTCGACAGGAACAGGTCCGGTTCAAAGAGGAACCTCGAATCTCCAACAGCCAGGGTTTAGGGTTGAGGGTTTAGGGTTTAGGGTTTAGGGTTTAGGGTTTAGGGTTGAGGGTTTAGGGTTTAGGGTTTAGTAGTTTAGGGTTTAGGGTTTCGGGTTTCGGGTTTAGGGTTTAGGGTTTAGGGCTTAGGGTTTAGTAGTTTAGGGTTTAGGGTTTAGGGTTTAGTAGTTTAGGGTTTAGGTTTTAGGGTTTAGTAGTTTAGGGTTTAGGGTTTAGTAGTTTAGGGTTTATGGTTTAGGGTTTAGGGTTTAGGGTTAAGGGGCCCGAAGCTTAAACCAGCACTGTCAGGCTTTCGGGAAGCGGCGGACGGGGCCTTGGAACGAGAGCAGTGATAAACAAACACGCTGAATATCGTGTGTTAGGGTGTAGGGTTTAGGGTACATACCTTCGTGTACACATTTCTGTGAAGCTCTTTTTTTCTTAGTCCCCTTCTTTTTCCCACAGCCTTGTTATTGCTATTACTGGTATTCTTATTACTTTTATGCGTATTCTTGTGCATACCAGCCCCTTTATTGTACTTAATCATACTTTCATCAGCTCCGAACGACTACGACTGAGACAAACATCATGTTTCCGCCCGCCTCATTTCAGCTTTGCTCATGCTGTTCTTGTTCTCATATAGGCGGTATGAGCATTTCTCGTATGCGGCTGTTCCAGCTGTTACAACGTTTTCGGGACGGGAGATTGGACTTTCCGTGCAGAGTTGAGGGCAAGGTTCGAGGGTGCCGTGTAACCTTCAGACCGCAAGCTTAGCTGTAAGCCGCAGCTCAGGGTGTATTAGTAAAGGGGGCCTGGGTGATTGGGAATGTGATTCCCTTGCACTTTCCGTATGGTTGTGCTCTTATGGGCCCCAAAGCTCTATTCCAACTTTTAAGACCTGTATATGAAGGGGTTTTGGGATTAGGGTCTTGGACAGTCTATGTCTATGTTGGTCGAAACATTCAACATGATGCCGAAAGGGTTTGGGGTTTAGCACCCAGGAGCCTGTCCATGCTGTCAAGTCAGTCCGAGACGCACATCAAGGACTGATTGGGCTGATACGGGCGTGTCGGGTGTCGGGTTTTGGGTTAGGGTTGCGGGGTTTTGGGACTTGGGCCTTAGGGCTTGGGGGCTTAGGGTTTGGGGTCTTGGACCTGGGGTTTTGTTGGCTGTGGGGTTTAGGGCTTTAATTAAGGGTTTCGGGGTTTAGGGTTGAGGTTCTAGAGAGCCCAACTACTTGTGAAGAGTTCCTGAGTCATACAGGGTTTCTCCTGTATGCCTGAAGGCAATCAAGTCATGCATGTTGCAGCCGCTGTTGATGACTTAAGAAGGTTTGTTGTTGTCAGTTTGTTGTGGGGCTGTACAACTCTACGACTATGTGTTTGTGGGCTTTGGCCAGGTGCGGCCTACTTAAGGATTTCGATTCGAAATCTCTGGGCTTGCCGCTGTATTGCTTCCCCCCCAGCTCCAAATCGAAAAAATAGAGGCCTCAAGAATTACCTATATTATTTTTGGGGGGTTCTTATTATACTTATCGTGTAATATACCCCAAAACCCTATTCTAATTATCAGGGCCCCTATATTATGCCCTTAGCCTGCAGACCTACGCCCTAAACCGCTGGACCTTCCTTCTAAAGGCCTGGGAGCTCAGAGTGAAACTGGGTTCTTAAAAATACCGCTATGAAGCCTTCAAAGATGTTAATGGTTTAGGGTTTAGGGTTTAGGGTTTCGGGTTTAGGGTTTAGGGTTTCGGGTTTAGGGTTTAGGGTTTAGGGTTTAAGATCCTCTTGACCTCCTTATCTGAGAGGTAACGAGCCTTCTGAAGTCTACTACATCCTCCCCGTATGTTCATCAAGAGATAATGTTGGCTTTTGAACTAGACATGCAATAAACCCTGAACCAAGGGTCAACCTGATCCTTCCGAACCCTAAACTCTAAACCCGAACCGTAGGTCTTAAACTCTGAGCCGTAAACCGCAAACCCTACGCCTTCGAAACCCGTACCCCCAGTAAACCCTAAACCCTAAACCCTAAACCCTGAACCCTGAACCCTAACCCCTGCTTCCCAAATGCTTCCACCAGCGACCACTCGAGAAGGCGCACGAGACGCGCAAGAGTTTCCAGCGGCCGAAGACTCTTGGCTATTGCTACTGACGGTTCATGCAGGGGCTTCGATAAAAGGGTATAAAATCGGCATAAAAAGGCTATTGAAAAGATATAACGGACACGACAGCTACTGTGTACTCGTACTTGTTGCTTAGTTTTTTACAAGGTTTTATACGGCTTTCTAGGATTTTGGGATGCTACAGAGACTCTTGTCCTTTGTTGCCTTGTACTGTTTATCATGGGCTGTTTTATTTACAGCTCTTCCTAATTTCGTTTTTTTTGCTACTGACTATGCGTTTTATACAGCACTCCTGAGACAAGGGCCTAGCATAGTTAATACGCAACATGCTGTGACTTAGAGTCGTGTAAGGATTTGCAAGACCTTCAAACATGCAGAGTATTTTACGACGCCTTCGGTAAACCTCCATAAATGATCAATCCTCCGAAGTCTTAAACCCTAAACCCGAGACCCTCAACCCTAAGCTCTAAATTCTAAACCCTAAACTCTACACTCTAGACTCTAAACCCTAAACCCTAAACCCTAGAACCTAAAACCTAAACTCTAAACCCTAAAGCCTACACCCTAAAGCCTAAACCCTAAAGCCTAAAGCCTAAAGCCCAGGTTTTGGGTTCTCTCCTTCGGTTGGTTCCTAGCCGGCTGCGCCGGATTTGCCGCCTTGACCGCAAGAAGGGGGCTTCCATTTTACAGGGCTTGGGTCTAAGGACCTGAACCCTAAACCCTAAAGCCTAAACCCTAAAGCCTAAAGCCTATAGCCTATAAAGCCTAAAGCCTAAATCCTAAACCCTAAACCCTACACCCTAAACCCTAAAGCCTAAACCATATAAAGCCTAAGCCCTATGAAGCCTAAAGCCTAAACCCAACCTAAGCAGTCTCGGGTTTTGGGACTCGGGTTTGTCGGGATTGGGGTTCGGAGTTTTTCGGGTTTGAGCCGACGAGCTACCGGCTCTATGGTTGAAATAGACCCCCCAAAAAACCGATTCAGGCCCCTAAATTAGGCCCTAAACCCTAAACCCCAAACCCCAAACCCCAAACCCTAAACCCTAAACCCTAGACCCTAAGCCCTAAACCCTAAGCTCTGAACCCTAAGCCCTAAACCCTAAACCCTAGACCCTAGACCCTAAACCC